TCTCTCTCTCTCTCTCTCTCTCTCTCTCTCTCTCTCTCTCTCTCTCTCTATATATATATATATATATATATATATATATATATATATATATCGTGACCGCGTTATCTGACGGGTGAAAATCCTGAAAGGGATTTTAGGGGTGTCAAATAAGCGTAACAAATAAGAGGGGGTAAATTCAATAAAATGATGTATTTCCAATTAAATTTAGAGATAGATAGTGAGGCCTTTTGACTCTTATCTAGGGGGAGGGTAAGGCCAAGCGACTCGAACACGCGCAATATCGGGAAGGCTCGAATTAACAAAGAAGGGAAGAGTTTAGTCGTGTCTAGGGGTGTCTCGATTCTTACAATAATTATCTCACTGGGGGGGGGGAAAGAAACACAAGTGTGGGCTCACCGCTGGGGGGACGGAACGGGAAGATAAGGCTGCAGAAATAGTGACTGGGAAAAGGGGAAAATAACTCGTACTCACAGGTCCTCTCGATGCTGGGGAACTGTCCGGGGTAATTAACACCTGGGCCTTCTCGGGGTCCTCTCCAGGGGATGCTGAGCCTTCTCTCCACCTCAGGGTCTCCTGGTTGATCTCTCCGATATGGGATGAGGTCCAAGATCCTCCAACAATCCTCTTTACATTGTTATAGTTCTCTGGGCACAATTGATACGACGCGTTAACTGGGGCAGTCGTGAGACGAGTGGCTTTCCTTNAGAGAGAGAGAGAGAGAGAGAGAGAGAGAGAGAGAGAGAGAGAGCGAGAGAGCGAGAGAGAGAGCGAGAGAGCGAGAGAGAGAGAGAGAGAGACGCACCTTAGTTTGGGCGCCGGCCACCAGGGGCGTTGGCAGTCAGTAGGCACGTTCGTAATGACCCCCCTATCGAAAACATAGACGTATCCACGTCAACATAACCGCTATATAGGGAAGGGGAAGGCAAAATGGGCCATGAAACCGTAGAGGCTAATTGTGTTTTTTGGTAAAAATTACTTATATTGGAGGTAAAATATGGCTTCAGCATGAGTTGAAATCACCCCAATTCAA